CCTCCTGGCTTTGGTGTAGGTTATCAAATGAGAATGTATGCAATCATACCAAATTCTTTACAGAAGTAAGATGTTCTTTATCTGCTATCATTGATCCCAAGAAATATTTTAAAAGCATGGGTGTCTGGGCTTGCCAGAGAAGGACCCAGTTTATTCCTATTATTTTCACCCTAATTATGAATAGCCCTTCTTTCATTCTCCAAAGTGCTCTGGCTTGGGCGATAAATTATAAATGGCCACCCTACTAACGAACTTCAAATTTCTAGATTATACATTTCAATGCATGCCCAGCCCCCCAGCTTAGGGTTGAAGGGTTGAAGAAAGAAAAACTAAAAGGAGAACATTGTAGGGTTAGGGAATCGGAGCATAAAAAGATTAAACAGAGGGGAAAATAGTCCTTTAAAACAATAAAAGCTCAGGCCTCACATTAGGAAGAACAAAACTGAATGCCATTCCTGCAGGTATTGTCTTTCTTGGCTCAGAGGGCTGAAGGGCCAGGAGCATTTCACAAGGGCCCTGTGAATGGATGGCTTGTTTCCCTCCAAAGAGCTTACAGCTGGACACCAGTAGTGGGAATAGTAGTCTTGTTTCTCAGGCAGGCTTCCAGGGCCTCCAAGTGTTACAAGCCCTTCATAGAGCAGCAGATTTTAAAGGTGAATTGAAACTATTTTAAGATCCCTCTAGGGCAGTGGATGGACAGAATGACGGATTGTTACTACGGAGTAGTTGTTTTCGTTTCTGGCCCAACTGTGCACACAGCACCGTGTTCGTGACTGCGCCATTTGTTCTCTCTGCAAACAAGATGCGTTGTATGAAATGTGCAAAGAAGGGAAGGTGGGAACCAGATTACAGGTTCTTCTAAATAAAACAGAAAAATATTGACCAGGCCATAAAAAGACTAGGCAAGCCCGAGTGGAACCTTGTGTGGATATTACCTTTACAATCCAGTTAGGAGATGGGGGAGTGACATGGGTGTGAAATTATCCTTTTAGGAGTTTCATTCAATAAGTCAAAACTGAGATTTCTTTGGATTGCACCGACGTCACCAAATTCTTTGGCCAAAATATTAATAAATTTTAGCATAGCTCAGTGGTTAAGAGTACCTCAATTCAAATCCCAGCTTCACGGGTTAACAGAAACTGTCAGCAAGTTTCTTCCCCTCTTTGTATCTCAGTTTCGTCATCTGTAAAATGGGGATAATTGTCTCACTTAGCTCATAAGGTTGTTGAGATGAGGTGATGAGTGAAATGCTTGAAATAGTGCTTGTTAATGTCAGTTGTGGTGGCCGTCATCATTATTAAAAAGTGCAATTGCAAGGTTTTATTGTAATCTCTTAAATGTACAACTTGCTATGCTCAACTTGAAGAGCCAGGAAAATTTTTTTTTTCCCCAGACACAAGCCAGTGCTATTTTGATAAGGGTCCCAGTTTCCTCAGTTAAGTAGGCCTGGGAGAAGGTTTGTGGGCGATTAGAGCTATTATAGTCACAGGATGGAATAGCTTTAGAGAGCTCCTGTCCTGCCCTGGTCTCAAAACACTAAGAGAAGGAAGATAAGAAATCGCTATCAATTAGAGAGAGCTCCCAAAAGCTGGGAAATGAGGACTTAAATGTTTTCATTCTAAAAACAACATTGAAGCATTTGCCTGCACAAAGCACCTTCCCAGGACCTCTCTGTGCAACAACGATGTATATATTGCTCAAGGAGTTCATTCTTTCATTCATTCATTCGCTCATTAATTCCACAAATTTGGGGTATTTTTATGAGCCAAGAATTGTTTAGGGGCTGGGGTTAAAATGACAAATTCAACAAGCTCGTAAATTCAAGAGCCTCTCAGAGTATGGAATACAGGATGCTGACCAGTAACAATCCTGAGGTTGGAGCTAGATAACTAGCAGCTCAGGGGAACTCAGGGGGCACAGGGGAAGGGTGCCAAACTCCATCACTTGATGCGCGAAAAGTCACTCACTCTCAGGTTCTGGCACAGCCAGAAACTATGAAGGGGTTTCAAAGTGGTAATTCCTGATTTGATGTCAGATTGAAAAGAGCAGGAAAATCTCAGAAGCAATTTAGCATGAGCAGCAAGGGGAGAAAATGGCCAACGACATTGGAAGAGGCAGGATTGCTTTGCAATCCATAGAAATGTCTGGTAATTTATAGAGATTTAACTCGAATATTGTCCAGGATAATAATTATTTCACTGCTTTTTAATCTGGAAACCCTCCATGCAATGTTCATTGGCATTTTCTGGTTATATAGTCACTCAAAAATGGAATACGTGATACACACCGGCTCTTTGCTGACCAGCCAAATCAGGGTTTCTGTTGTCTTTTGAAAGATAAGGGATCTTAAACTGAGTACTTAAGTGGCTTGAGCTGCTTAGCCCTGGGGCTAGGTTAAGCAGGTGGGTGTGACTCCAAGCCTTGGTTTTTCCACTGCCCAACTGGGGCTCAGTTCCCAGAAGATTAATGGAGCCCAGCCAGGACATTGTGGGAGAAAAACTAAGAGCACATTGTTACATTCAGAGTGATAGTAATATGTTTAAAGTTAGGTCGTATTAGAAAACTGGCAATGCTAGGTGTCCCTAGCGGCAATCAAGCCTGGATGACGGATTCGGGCAAATTAAATTCATTAGTGATAGCCTGATAAGCTCAGAAACAAAGCATTCATTCACTGGGAGGAATTGAACTGGCTCAATCAATTGAACTTGCTCAACCAATTGAACTACTTGTGACTTCTCTCTTCCTGAGATTTGCCCAGGGATTTAGGCAAATGAGCTCTGGACATTCATAAAATCTCCATCTCCCTTCAAATGCAGGCTGACACTTGTCTACTTCTTCCAACCCAGTTCTTCTCATTCTAATCTCTTGGTTCTTTGATTGGTTTTGCTCTTCCATTTCTAGGACTTCCTTCACCATCACCCCATTCTAGGTTAGTTAAGATTTATGTCCAAATCCAAGTAACAGAAAACTGTACCAAACAATGATGTCAACAAAACAGGAGGTTTAATTTTCCTTATTGGCAGTGCTAACACTGGTGGAGAAGTTCAGGGAGGTAAGGCTGAGATCTCTAACAGTTTTTGCTGAAATCTTGTTATCATACCTACTAGAGGCCCAGTGCATGACATTTGTGCTTTGGGGGGGGGGGGGGAGTCCCTCAGCCCAGCCTGCATCCTCTCGCAGTCTGGGACCCCTGGGGGATGTCCACCTGCCGGCTTAGTGCTGCCACTGAGGCGGGAGAGGCTCCTGCCACCGCCACGGCACTCGCCAGCCATAAGCCCTGCTTCTGGCTGAGTGGCACTCCCCCTGTGGGAGTGCACTGACCACCAGGGGGCAGCTCCTGTGTTGAGCATCTGCCCCCTGGTGGTCAGTGTGCATCACAGCTACCAGTTGTTCAGCCATTCAGTTAATTTGCATATAGCCCTGATTAGCCAATGAAAATGGTATCGCCGTACGCCAATTACCATTTTTCTCTTTTATTAGTGTAGATTATTATTATTATTATTATTATTATTGATATTCCAGGCAGAGAGAGCTGGAAGCACCAAGAGGAAGAGAAGATATTTGTATTTGGAAAACAAAACTTGTCCAAAAGTCTCCAATAGATTTCTCCTTATGTCTCATTGATCAAAGCTGAGTTTCAAGCATCCCTAATGGATAGAGAGGCTGGGAAGTGAAAATTTTCAACTGGGCATGGGGCTGCCTCACTCAGTAAGAAAGACCTTCGTGGAAACTAGCATCAAGCCAAAATAGCTACAAAAACAAAACAAAACAAAACCTACCAACAGAAATCACAACTGTGTGCTGGAAGAATGCACTTCCTTGCAGAGCATTGGAGTTTTTCTTCCACTCACCACGCATGCCCTAAGGCCTACTGTGTGCCAGGCACTGTGCCAGGGTCCTTGCAAAAGCAGTGACCCTTGAGGAGCTTGCAGCCCAGTGGGAGATGCACACATTCACAAGTAATCACAATATTCCTGGGTTCTGACTTACAATGAGATGCTTTGCAATCCATAGAAATGTCGGGTAATTTATAGAGATTTAACTCAAAATTTCTTCTTTCACAAAAAATTAAGAAAGGGCTGAGCTATGTTAGAGCAGGCTGACAATGTCAGTTGTTTATTTGGTAGTCAGATTATCACGAATAGTAGATAAATCATCTATGGAAAACATGAGTACGGAAAATGTTTACTTATAGAATAAGCATCTGAATTTACTAGCAATGCCTGACCCCATCCCATCTTCCTTCAACTGCTGCTGGGCTGTTCCCCACGCTCTTCGTTCCTGGAGTGTTTGCACTGAGGATTCGGTATTCTTCCCACTCGCACGTTCACCTTGGTGGTATCTTTCAACGAGGTGAACTGCCAGGCCAATGTCAGAATCCCCTTGCCTTTCTCAGTGCAAAACTTGTACTGACTCCGGTCATTATTGTTTTCACTGCTTTTTAATCTGGAAACCCCCCATGCAATGTTCATGGGCATTTTCTGGTTATAGAGTCACTCAAAAATGTAAAGAAAAAAATGTAAAAACCCTCAAGAAACAGACATTCACGGAGCAGAGGCTCAGGCTCCTGACCAGGCCAGCAACATTGTCATGAGAGGCCCTGGAAATGGATCCAGGCCAGGCGGTCGCCCTGCTATGCTGGTCAGTCTTTGTCTCCAAGGTGGCTTCCTCACCCTGCACCAGGAAGCTAAGAAGAGACCATAAAACCTTTGCCGTTTAAATTATATGGCCCTTAAGTGTGTGTGTGTGTGTGTGTGTGTGTGTGTGTGTGTGTGTGTCTTTATGTGTGTATGTGCATGTCCATGTGTTTATTTGAAATTTTTAAAAAATACTTTAAAAAGGAAACACTGGTGTGATTATTTCCATAGGGATAAACAGTGCTATGGGAACCCGAAGGAGGTATGTTCAGTTTGAGGGGTCAGCCAGGGTCCCTCAGGGACATGACATCTAGGCTAACACTTGAGGGATTTTCAACTGCCTTTCTTAGACCCCCCACCTACCTCCTGTTTCTGCAGCCTCGTCCTGGAGACGGCACTGAGCCTCCTTGATGGAGACCTGGGCAGAATGCCGGCCTCCCGTGTAACAGATCTTCTCTCAGGACAGTTCATTCCACTTGGTGTTGACGCTTCAGCCTGAAGTTCAGGTAGTGACCTTTCTGAGCCCTCCCAGGGCTGGGTCTTCCCTGAGGAATTGTGAGATTCCATCTTTCCATCTGAAAGACTAAGATTTTTTTTCCTTCTGTACTGGCATGGCCTCAACTCATTATCAAGATTTCCATGACAGCTTTTAAATGTCAGTTTTGTGAGTTTCAATACAAAACATTTGAAAACAGTTTTCTGTTTGGCTTATCTACCGTGGTTCGAAATTAGTTTGGTATTTTTACTGTTTTCAACCATGTTAACTTTAGAAGGCCTCGCTGCGGATTTCTTTTCATGTTATCCTACGTATTTCAAAGGGTTTAAATATAGGCTCGAGCTATGATCTAAAGATTGTTTGAAAAGCAAACACATTCCTGGTTCCAGCACTGCAACCACCGATGTAGTCAGACCAAGGCCCTGGACTCAGCGCAGGGAGGCTAGGAAGTGAGGCCATGAGGGGGTCTGAGAGGCCCCAGAGTTGCAAAGAATTGAAGGATTCTTCAAGAATCTTTTAATTCTTGCCCAGCTGGTGTAGCTCAGTGGTTGAGCATTGACCTATGAACCAGGAGGTCAAGATTCGATTCCCTGTTGGGGCACATACCCGGGTTGTGGGCTTGATCCCCAGTGTGGGGCGTGCAGAAGGCAGCTGATCAACAATTCTCTCTCACCATGGATGTTTCTATCTCTCTCTCCTCTCCCTTCCTCTCTGAAATCAATAAAAATATTTTTTTTTAAAAAAAGAAGAATCTTTTAATTCCTCACTGCACATCCTGCTAACCGATTTTACTTACCTTACCCCAGGCTCTCCCTGTTTGCAATAAGCAGCCATGGTCCTGGGACCATTGTCCAGCTGAGTAGCTTCCTAAGGAGATAATGAGGAGAAATGATCTTGCCCATCGCCAAAGAGCCTTGGGTCCTCTGGTATACATTTTTATTGATTTGCTGGTGTCATCTGTCACAAGTTGGATGTTTACTGGTTTATAATTTTTTCCTTTAATATTTAACCTGCAGGAATGAAAAGTTGCAATGTTATCCAAATGATATGCTACTGGAGATATCATTTTCAAGGAGCTGTAAGGATGTTCAAGTGGAATTGTTGATCCTATCAGAATTGCTCCCTTGGATGGGAGGGCATTCAACGCTGCCCTGGGCCTCTGGTTATTAGTCACTGTGCTAGATGGGGTCCTTTAGTGATCGAGACAGGCCACTGACCTTGTTGGTCACGATGTGCCTTTGGCTGGCCGGCCCCATTCTAGCTTCACTGGATTTGGGCTTTTATTGGGTCAACCTGGAGCTTCTGCAGGAAGCTACTCCACTTGCTGATGGTTCCAGATGTGGGTTCTGGGTCCGTTCTGAGCTGCCCTCAATGTTGAGAAGCTTGAGTAGAGTCCTAATAGCCCTACATTTGTTTCCTCTCTTCTCCTCACTCCCCAGGTCATACCAAGGACACAAGAGAAACTGTGACATATGAACAGGGCATTATCAAAAGCCTACTATGTGTCAGGCTCTGTGCTAGATGCTGCAGACACAGTTTCTCTTAGAAACCACATAAAAATCTAGAAAATGGATCCTATTGTAGATGAGGCCACAGGTTCAGAAAAGATAAGTTAGGGTTTGTACTGCTAGTAAGGGTCAGTCTGGTTCTAAACCCTGTGCTCTTTCCAGTCACGCTGTGCTGAGCCTGAAAGTACCAAATTGTCCTCAATTCCTTAGCCATCCCCATCAAGGGTGGATAGGGGTGGAGAGAAGAAAGATCTTAGGGCACCTGAGAGCAGGCCAGGACACCGGAGACTAGTGCTACTGAAAGGCATTTTCCTGGAGTTTGTTAGTGAGCCAACAAGGATTGCTGGTGGTTACCCAACAGCTCTGATTCTGCCAGAGGGCTACTGTCCATAATGACGCTAACAGGGCATCCCTTAGCTGGTTTAGACACTTGATAAGAGCTAAGAGAAATTATACCTTGCTGTGTACTAAGGTCAGGCAAATAAGGTTAAAATGCTGAGTTCCTTTGCTCCTGATGAAATTCACATCAACTCCAGGTGTCTTCCACAGTTATCTTGTGTTCATCAAAACTGCCTTTGGTAGTTATCTCTCTCTCATTTTTCCCCAAATGACTTAGATGTAATCACCAGAAGCAAATGAATTGTTTCCAATACAGAAGAGAACACATCAGTCACTATTGCCAGTGGCACTGGGGCAGAAAGGGCCTGTGCGCTGCCCCCCAAACTGGTCCCCACCAAGCAAAGATGCCTGCATTGGCTCTAACAGTCTGTCTCAAGAAACGGGAGGTGGGCATCTGCTGGTCCTGTGGGATCAGTTCTTCTTGCTCATCACTCCCTCCTGACCAACTTTAAGAGCCCTCCATCCCATGCCCTCTCTGGACGTCACTCTTTGTTTTATGTCTTGGAGAAATGTCATCAACCTGAAGAACAGGACAGCTGTGTCCATGATGGTCTTTGCAAATTCTCCATTAATGGTTTCCAGATGCCCAGTTCTTTCATATCCTCCAAGGTAGCTGTCCCTCCATGTCTACCTCAGGTCTCACAGTTCTGGGAGTGGTGGCCCTAAAGGAGGTAAGCATGAGGATTATCTATATCACTCCTATTTACAAAAGAGATTTGATGTGGGGAACAATGGAGAAGATATAATAGAAGAGAACATTTTAGGCATTGAGCCTCTGAAAAGGGGTGACAATAAAACCTAAGCTCTTTCAGAAGAGTTTTGGGGTGGATTGTACCAATTAACTTGAGAGAATACGGCCCATTATAGTGCTTTCCATCGTCTTTGCTGTCATGGTATACAGAGAATATGACCATGTTTGAACCACACACTGAAGAACAAAATAAAGAGGTGTGGCCACTCACAGCCAGAATCAAAAGGCCAGGAAGCTCTGGGAGCCCCAGACCCCACCCAGCCACCCGAGCACTGAGGGACCAATGTCTGGGCACACCATTTGGGGCCTCTGAACTAGTTAATAGAATGGTCTGATGAGAAGTCAGAGGAGCCCAGTCTTAATACCACTAATGGAGGTATTTCTCCCTTGAGCAGCTCAGGAACCAACCCAACTATTTGGTGTCTGGAACAACCTCCTAAACTCTTCCTGGTCTGAGCCTCAACCCCACCTCAGTCTAACCCCTAGCAATATTGAACCCTTGATTGTTAAGAAAGGTCATTTTGATGATGTGTTGTCAGTCCTGTTTCTCTCAAATAGCCAGAATGTCAGCAGTGCTCTAGAGAAAACATATGAAGGAAGAGAATTTGTCTCTGATTCACGTCATTACTAGGCATTTTGTACATAAAAAATCTTCCTTCCATGAAATCTTTGGAAGACAGCTGTTTTATTTTGAAATGTGACATCCCACATAAAGGTCTCAAGATATATCTTCTATTTTATTTTGTATAATCCCACCTGCCACATCCCAGATCTAATGTAAAATGTTGATCTATACATTTTTAAGTGAGCATATTTTTATAATTTATTGTAACTTCAGTTAAATTTATGATATAAATGGATATCACAAAGAAGGAATATCCCAGACTGAAGTACATAGAACCACTAATAAAAATAACCTAACCAAAGAAAAAAGTGACCTAAACTTGCTTATATCTGTTTATCAAATTGAATTTAATAAGTGGTTTTGATATGACCCAGCAATCCTATTTCTAGATTTATATACCCAAGAACAATTTGCGTATAGGTCTGCCAAAAGACATATACAAAAATATTCATAACAGCTTTATTCATAATAATTCCAAATTGGAAACAACCCACGTGTCCATTAACAAAAGAATGGATAAATAAAGTGTGCTATATCCGTATAATGGGATATTACTCAGCAATAAAGGTTATGAACTACCCATATTTGCAAAAACATGGATGAACCTCACAGACAATATGTTGATTAGTAGAAGCCAGACATATATTGCATGTCACTTATATGACATTCAAGAAGAGGTGTCTGGAGTGGTTACCTTCAGGTGGAGAGGCAGGGTCTGACTAGAGAAAGAACAAAGAATTTTCTGGACACATGTGCTGGACATGTGCTATGTCTTGATCCGAGTGGTGGTCACAAAGGTGTACATATATTTAAAAACTGAGCAGCACACTTCAGATTGGTACATTTTATGCTCTTTATTTTATAATATAGGGTGTCCCAAAAATGTATACACACTTTGAATAATTATAAAGGCAGTGTTATTAAAGTACATTTTATTTTCAAAATGTAATAGAATCTATAGACATTGTTTAATTGTCTTGTGTATACATTTTTGGAGAACACTCCTATATTGTATCTCAATAAAAATGTAAAAGGAGCCCAGCCAGGGTGGTTCAGTGGTTGAGCATCGACCTATGAACCAAGAGGTCACCAGTTTGATTCTGGTCAAGGCACATGCCCAGGTTGTGGGCTCAGTCCCCAGTAGGAGGCATGCAGAAGGCAGTCAATCAATGATTTTCTCATCATTGGTGTTTCTATCTATCTCTCCCTCTCCCTTCCTTTCTGAAATCAATATATATATATATAAACATACATATACATACACATATATATATATGTATGTGTATATATATATTTTAAGGAAAAGGAAAAAAATAGATTTGACATACATGTAGTACCTAGGAAAACTTCCCTAGGGACCTAACTTCCTCTTGTATTAAAAAAAAAAAAGTTAGAAATTGACCTATGAAATGCCTGGACTCTCTGGGAGAGAAGCAAGATTAAGGATCAATCAGGGTCAGCTGGAAAAACCATTCAGTGAAATCACTAGATATTTCCTGTGCTGACCTGGCCCATCCTAAAGTCTCAACATTAGGACTCACCCTATCCTTTCTGCTTCCCCCTTTTACATTATCCTATCTGGGGCTTGTTATAGGGTGAATAGTGTCTCCAAAATTCATATGTTGAAGCCCTAACCTATATGTGACTCTATTTGGAGACAGGGTCTTT